TTTCAATGTCTTGTTTCCACGTATAAGAATGAGTTGTCAATAGAAATAATATGAAACCTGTCGCAAGCAATATCTACTGTTGTTGAAGAACCTTCTCCAAACTCACCTACCGTTTCCATAAGAAACAGCAGTTGTATATTCGTAAGTTCCAGGAACTATTCTGACCTTCTAATGGCATTGTCGCATTCGTTATACCATTCGGAAACATTTCCGTTCATGGCATCCAAAACTGTTTGGCGTTATATTTGAGCGGCGTACATTTCATGCAATCTAAAATTTTTCTTTGTATATACACCATTCTGTACGTCTAAAAGACTTTTGACATTTGCCAAGAATGTTCGTTTAGACGCTGTCATATAACCATATTCTTGACAATATTGTTTATACGAATCGTACAATGACCTTTCATCTAATGACACAAAGTCAGTTTCATCTATGAACAGTTCATAAACACTCTTGTTTGCTTCTAACAATGTTTGTCTCTCTTCGGTATGTGGAATTTGTCTTGGATTGAACTTTGAAATATCTAATGTCATAAAATATGAGAAACAAGTGGTTGTAAAGTCAGATGTCAAAGTTTCTGCTAAGTCGTCAAAATATTCTGTATCTTGCATATGAGCTTCTGACGTTCTGACAACTACATATCTTCTGTCAGAACTTTCTAACTTCATCGGAACAGCATTGTTTGAAACCATAATGAAGTTTGCAACATTTTCACAAACTCTTTGGTCTTTATACTTTCTTTCAACAACTCCAACTTTGTCTGTTATAAGACTCTTCAAAGATCTGAGTTCAAAAACTTTTGTTGTATCTATACTTTTGAAGTTCATTGCAAACTATAAGTTTTCATATTCTCTATTGAGAAGTTAAACTTGCACAGATGTTTTCTAAGTTTGTCATATTGGGTTCGAATAGCCTTCTAACAGTTTGCACAAAATATCTGTAAAGAATGTGTTCTTACCAGTTCCTTGTTTTCCAATTATAATGAGAGCAGTTTCATTTTTAGCACTTGGATGTTGTAAGATGTTTGCAAACCAAACATAAGATATACTCATAGACTCTTTCGTTTCCATTGCATATAATTTCTTTGACATGGTCTAACCAAGCTTCTATAATATTTTCTTTCCATTCTACTTGTTCGTATTTATATCCAGTGAAGATAGAATAGAAGTTTGGAGAAGGTGTATAGAACTTTATACCTCGAACTGAAAAATCTTCTAACTTTGACAATAAGATATCCCAAGCATCTAACATCTTTCATGCCAACTTGTACGAACTTTTATTTTCTTAAGTTTCTGTCTACATTCTTGTTTAGACACTATTGTTGCTCTTGGTTTGTTAAAGACTACATCCCATTCTTTCATACATAACATTCTGGGGCAGAGTCGACATAAATGACTAAACGTTTCAATTCTCGACTGCTTTGTTATAGTCTCGAAATGGACACATATTTCTGAATGCTTGGAAGTCATAAAATCTGAAACATCTATTCTGTACATTTTTTATAAAAATAAAAAAAATAATATTTTTTTATTCTTGACTTGTTGTTCCATTTGTTGCATTTGTTGTTCTTGAGCTATTTGTTGTTGAAGTTGTTCTTGTAATACAATAACTTTCACCAGTTGCATCTTCCAATTCGAAAACTTTCTCTGCGTCATTGACAAATACATAGGACATAAAAGTTTTACAGGAACAAAGTTTGCGTCAACTAATGTCAACGTTTACTTGCCAAGTGTTTGAGTTCACTAAGGTTGAAAATTCTGCATTCGAATGAACAATAGGCAAACCAGCAGAGAAAGTATTGTTTATACGCATAAGTATCTTTTGGTCATAATAGTTTCTGTCGACAATTCGAAAACACTTTGAACCTAAGTTTGAAAACAATATATAAGATTGGTGTGCTTAATGTCAATGGAATAGACATTCCTTGTATGACACCTTTTCCTGTTATAGGAAACTGTTGGTAGTAAAAACCAGAAATAAGTTTTGTATTATAGCTCATATCGTTTATAGTAAACTCAGTCGGACATCCAAACATAATGAAACCTGCTCTAGTTGCAGCACATGTTACACCGTACTTAAAGTATAAATTAAATAAGTCAACAAAACCTGTCGGTGGTATATCTGAGTAAGTATCTTCAAAGGAGTATTTTTTACCATTCACAACAATAAAGTCTTCTGGTGTCAAAAGAGCAAAACAGGCTTTAGTCGTCATTGTGTTTAAGGTTAGTTTACAATATCGTCCTTGAGGACTTTGTAAGTTTGTTGTTATAGAATTATATGACTCAGGGTTTTTAGTCGTAATAGTATAAACCATTATGTCTTCTGCCATTTACTTAGCAAATAAATTTTAATGAAATGTTGTGGTCGTCAAATATTTTTATGACGTCTGGGAAACTATACTTTAAGTTCAACGTTTCACCTCCTTTCATAACGTATATCTTGTCAATGACATTATATGAAACACCACAGCAACCAATGTCGGGTTCTATTTCTTTGATGTTTATATCGTCTGCCTCTGTCAAAAGTTTCAATAGTTCTTTTCAAGACTTCATGAGGTGCAATGACATATGAGTTCACTTTTACAGGGTTGTGTTCGACCAAGTTTAACATTATACTTAAAGCTTGACAATCTTCTCTGAGTTTGAAGTTTGTCTTTCAGTTGTTGGTAGTCGTTTCGAATATCTGCAACAGAACTTAAGTCTCTGCTAACTTCAGGATATGTTGGTTCTTTTACAGGAACAATTGTTATACCATCTTCGTCTTCGTATGGTTTCCCCACTTCAACATCTCTGTCTTTGACATTGACAACAACACTTTGACTGTTTGTTTGAGTTGGTGAATTTAACTTCACATCTGCCACCGCCATTAAACCTTTTGAAACACTCACGCTTCTATTTTTCGGAAATGACATTTTACTTAGAATAAAAAGATGGACTATTCGAGTATCTCTTCGAATTGAAGCAGAACAAAGTTTACACACACAAACAATACAAATACATTGACAGAATAGTTCTTTATACAAACAATGGTAAATGTTATAGAATAGCAATATTTGCTGAACCAAAATATTTCCATAAAGCAAAGAAAGTTGGTATAACTGAAATGGTGAAAGTTCTTGACGTTGACAAAAATATAACAACAAAACTTACAGATATTTCTAAAGGTAAGTTTATCTTACAATATTATGTCAAAACTGGCGTACTGTCAATATTTGACGGAGAGAAGTCAGTTTCAAGAACAACTTACTGACCTGCTGCCAAAATCTGCTCGATGGAAGCTGTCGTTATGCCAATCTGAGGAGCCCCAGCAATCGAACGAATCTTCAAAAGAGCATCTTCCGTGAAAAGTGCTATTGGTTTTGTAAACTTCTTTGCTCTCAGTTCATCTGGACCGTCTCTGTCACCAGTATATTGTATTTGTACAGTACCAACAGTTGAAATACCACCCATAAAGTCTTCTGAGTCAGCAAATGGAATGCCAAGCCAAAAGTTTGAACGGTCTCCATTTGTATATTGAGTTTTTTGACCTCCTGTATGAGTCCATACTTTCACATATGGCATAATAGAACTTTGCATTTCAGGGTTAATGGTTGTTGTGAAGTTGTTGTTAAAGTTCATAGCATCTAATGTCAAGTTGTATGACCTCATATCCTCAACTGTAGAATATCTTCTCTTGGATAATATTTGCCATCTATGTTTATATGATATTTAATACCAGGGTTGTAGAAACAAGAATAGTCATTTATAGTTCGTCTGAACAGTACAAACATAGTATCTGCATGTTTCATTGCAGTTGTTAAAGCAATATCTGTTCTTGCACCTGGGTCAGCACTTTGGTTTCCAACTTCACCTGCAAAGTCTTTGACAGATATTTGGTGTATAGGGAACATAAGTGGAACTGCAATATATTTGGCAGCTAAAGCATTTGAAATATCTGGGTCCAACATATAGACTGCAAGTCTGCTTTCTATTCTCTTGCATTCAAACTTTTCGCATGTGAACTTAACTGGGTCCCAAGCAGTTCCAGCAGCATTGAAATAATAGTTTACTTCATTGTTGAAGTTTGAGAAACCAAAGTCTAAGTCAACTTTGTCTTTGCAAAATTCGGCGAATGACGTTTGATTTGTTCCCTTTAACGTCTGTAATAGTGAATGGGTCTTGTGTTGGTGCAATGACTAAGTTATTTTTGCTTGGAGTAAGTTCGATAGAAATTTTTCCTGCCCAGTTTGGGCAAGTATCTTAAAAACTGAAGATGAGGAAAGATGACAAAGGAACTCTAAGTTTCAGTTTTACTTTGGTTACTGCTGCTGCAGTTTGTCCAGAAAGTTAACATAAACTCCTGGAACGTTAGGGTCAAGTCTTCTTATTTTCTCAATATTTGCATACTGGTCTGTTTGTTCTCTAGCTTGTGGTTGTACTGAGTTTCTCAAAGCGAACCATTCATAGTTTGCCCATGTTACTGTTTGAACTAAGTCAGAGTTAGAATATATCTTATATCCCATGAAAACTTCTGGAGCATATTGGTATCCGACATAGAAAAATTCCATTGCAACCTTTCTTGTCAGACAACTTGGCAGAAGGTTTTATTTCAATGTCTTGTTCCACGTATAAGAATGAGTTGTCAATAGAAATAATATGAAACCTGTCGCAAGCAATATCTACTGTTGTTGAAGAACCTTCTCCAAACTCACCTACGTTTCCATAAGAAACAGCAGTTGTATATTCGTAAGTTCCAGGAACTATTTCTGACCTTCTAATGGCATTGTCGCATTCGTTATACCATTCGGAAACATTTCCGTTCATGGCATCCAAAACTGTTGGCGTTATATTCTGAGCGGCGTACATTTCATATGGGTAAAAATATAGAATAGTTGGATTTATGTGTCATAATAGAACCCACTCGTACCAAGCTTTACTTTCTTCCTGACTGAGTTTTTAACTCTTCTTTTTCCTTCATTGCCACTACTTTCACTAGATGAAGTTACTTCTTCACTATTTTCACTTTGTTCTACTCTTCTTCTTTGGTGTCGCTTTTGGTAACTTGCCCTCTGCTTCAAGTTGTTGCATCTTTGCCTCATGTTCACCTAATATGTTGTAAATTTCCCATGTCCTTTTTGCCTTTGGGCTCTGGTCGCCCATCTCAGGTAACCTATATCCTAGAAAGATTTTGTCATAGTTTGTATTTGAGTCTTCGCGTATTGTTTGCATGACTCTTTCCTGAGTTTCCGGTTCAAGCTCTTCAAACAGAGCTTGTCCATATGGAATAAGCTCGTTTCCAAATATATGTTTTTGTAGCCATTCTGGTTTTCTTTCCATGTTACCAATAATATCTTTTGTGAATGGGAAAGCTTTTACCCAATGTTTCAGTCTTGCGTCATTTATTTCTGTAGTTGGTTTTATTTTGTCAAGGAACATGTTTTTCAATACTAACATTTCATTTGGTACTGTCCATTTGAGTTTTCTTAAATATTCATCCCTTCTCAGTTCATTGTCTGCAAAGTAAGTTTTTATGACATTTTGTAAACTTTCGTTTGCAAGGTCATGTACAATAAGTTCTCTTCCTTCTATCTCCCTAACTTTCTTTCTAAACTCTTCACCAAATATACCATCTCTATGGTTCTGTGTAGTTCTTTGAGATAAATGTTCTAGAACGTCAGGTGTTATATTTCCATCAGCCATGTTCATTTCATACTGGTTCAAAATATCTGCATCTTTCATATCTTTCAATGGCATTAAAGCCGCGCTGAAAATACCAGCTATATCTGGTTCACCATTCACTTCCATTGCGTCTACAACTTCTTGGAATTGTGGTTGTAAGTTTATGAACCACCTATCCGGATTAGCTTTATGACCCCATCTCATTGTAGTTCCATAGTCTGCAGAAACAAAAGTAGGTTTGTTTCCATATTGGTTAGGTTCTGAATGAACTTTAAACAATGTTTCATTTCTATATGTTTTGGTGAAATTTAACCTTTTATTTTCACCGAGTTCAGCCAAAGATTGAACGTTATATGGTCGTAAGTAAAAAGGATGTTGTATTTGCGTACACTTTCTTTCAGTTCTTCCATTCTATGCTGAATATTTTCATCTGATGTTGGAGTCTTTTGTATGTCGGCGAACATTTTTCGATATTCTTCTACTATGTCAGCCGAATTTTTCTTAGACTCTTGGAAAGATTCCATATTCTCCGCATACTCTTGTTGAGGGTCAAGATTTTTCGGCTGTTCCAAATCTTCATCTAGTTCTGTGAAGTTAGTTTCCAAAGGAGGGACTTGTTCGTTTCCTTCTGGCTCTTCTAGCTGTTGTTGCTGAACTATTTCTTCCATGTCTGGTTGTATCTGAACTTCTTCCTGTGGAGTTTCTTGTACCTCATCTGCTGGCATTTCATATATTCCGAGACCGTTTTTAACAAGTTCCCTATTTAAGCCATCCGCATTCATAACCCTTTCTTCTTTCGTTCCGTCTCTATTTTTTACGCGTTTCATGAAGATAGTTGAATTATCATTTATCTCTGACACCAAATATCTCGGAGTAAATTCATCCATGTCATTTGGATGATATGCTATTAAATCATATCCCTTAGCGAGCTTGTATTTTCCAGGTTTGAAATTATATCCCATTTGGTGCTGAACCATAAAGCTAAATAGGTTCGGGTCAGTATTTCCTTCCTTGAACTTTCTAATAGCTTCTTTATATCTGTCACTAAAGTCAAGAGTATCTGGGTAACCATAATTTTCCTTAAGCATTTTTAAGAATTCTTGGTTTCCTTGTTCTCTACTTCTTTTATGTCCTTGCTCTGTTTGTGGTTGTTGCTGTGCAGTGTTTTGAACTGTTGGTTGTGGTGCAGTGTTTTGAACTGTTGGTTGTGGTGCAGTGTTTTGAACTGTTGGTTGTGGTGCAGTGTTTTGAACTGTTGGTTGTGGTGCAGTGTTTTGAACTGTTGGTTGTTGTGTTGGTTGTTGTGTTGGTTTTGGTGCATGCCTGTGTCTGTGTCCATGTGACGATGTAAATGTTTTAGGTAGTCCTGGTGCAGGTGCTTCTCTTGGAGGGTTTGGTGGTATATAAGTTCCACCAGCTGGCACATATGTTCCATCTGCAGCATAATGTCCTACCTGACTTTTCGTTTTTAAGAAAGCATTTACTAGGTCTGTTTTGGTCTGTTGTAACTCTTTTTCTTGACTTTCCACAACAGTTGCTCTAACGGCGTCATAGGCACTTTGAACTGCCTGTCTCGTTGCTGCATCTGTTATTTTCGTCATATTTTGTGCTACTTCTCTTAACTCTTTGTCGAAACCTTCAGACTTCAGTTTCTTTCCAGATGAGAAGTCGTTCACTAGTTTCACCTTACTATGAAGAGCTTCGAAGGCGTTCTTAAAGTCAGCATTCATTAAAGCTTCATTTGAACTGTCTTCATCCGCTTGTATTTTTGTCCTTATTGACCCTATAAGTTGGGCTGCTTTAGCGTTGGCTTGGGCATCTAACCAGTCATTATTAGCTTTTATATATTCTGCGCTTTTCATTGCCTTTTGCATGGCTGCGTCGTTATTTTTACTTTCTTGTGCTAAGTTTTCATACTGTACGGTTTGGTTTTGCAACTGTAAAAGTTTTTCTGCCTTTACATTTGCTTCAACTTCTTTTTTATACTCATCGCTATCCATATATGTCTTCAGGGCTTTTTGTTTTATTTCTTCATCTTTCAGTACTTTATATTGAGTAGTATGGTTTTTCAAATTTATAACATCTTGTTCCATTTTTGCTACTTCTGCTGCTTTTTCTGACACTTTTTTCGCATATTCCTCTGTACTTAGTTCTTTCAGTTGTTCTTCTTTCTTCTTTTTCTCTACGTTTAACTCATTGAGTTTCTTTGTGTGTCTGTCATATTCTAGTTTCTTTTCGTTTTCACTTATTTGTTTCTGTATGTCTATGTTTGACTTTTTGACATCTGTTATTTGATTTTTGAGTGAACTCAAATTCATTTGACTTTGAGGGTTATAAGCTGTTCCGTCTGCAGCTCCACCATAGCCTGCCATTTTCGCTAAAAGTGCCGCTCTTAAACCTCCACTCTGTGCACCAATAACTCGGCTTAAAAGCATAGGGTTGCTTGACATTTGTTGCAACATAGTGGGGTCATTCATCATTTGTTGTTGCAACTGTTGTTGTGGTGTCAGTTTTACTATTGGATGTTTCAATGCTCCCTTCCTCTTACGTATATTCTTACGTAGCTTACGTGGCATTTTAAGTGAAGTAAAAAACGGTTTTTGACAGATGTTTATATGACACTTTTTGTTCAGCACAAAAAACTACTCGGTCAAAGTGTTGTCAGTTTTGTAAAATAACCGTCCTATCTCATTCTATAAGGGAGAAAAGGCTTCTCAAAGTATACTTCCGTGGAACGCCTGTAACTTTTCCTGTAGCGACGATAGACCCTTACTTGTCCGGACAAAGTTATACTAAACATCTTCAGGGCTAGAGGGCACGAAGTGCCTGGAGGCCCCAATACCTTTTTTTTTTTAATTACAAATGGCAAAAGTTGACCAAAAATCAAATACATACATAAGTTAACAATTCCGAATTCTAAATTTAATTGAAATTTTTGAAAGCTGATATTACATTTATATTTTTTAGAAACATCATAAAGTAAGCATCCAATATACTTTTTGGTATATTATTTGATCTTTAATTCAATTTTTTGACAAATTATTCCTTGTCATGAATCTTTATGCATCATTCATTGATATCTTTATGAGTTTGAAATGTTACATGAAACATTTCAAAGCAACTTCATCAAAACTCAATGATAAATAAGATTAAATTTAAGAAATATAACATGTTTATTTATTCATATCAAGATTTAACATAAAGGAACTTTCTCCATCATTTTTGACGGGTAATTTAACAAAGTAAGTCATTCTATTTCCTTTTCCTTTCAAGTAGATTTCACCTCTTTCTTCAATAACGAAATCCAAGTTCTGAATCAATTCTTTTGTATTACCTGAAATCTGGACATTTCCAGGGATATCTGTTGACTGTAATCTTGCAGCGACATTGATTGGATCGCCAATGATATCGAATGTTGGTTTATCTGTTCCCAAGACACCTCCAATCAAAGGACCACCACTGTTGCAGCCAATTCTTACTTCAAGGGAAGCATTTAGTTTATAATTAATGTCATCCATTGATTTACTGCATTCAAGACAACATCTGACAGCTTCTTCAGCATGTTTTTGTGGAGAATCTTCTTCCATGAACAAACCAGCAGCTGCCATATAAACATCACCAATCAATTTGATCTTTGTGATTGTTGTATATTTGGAAACAATCGAATCAAATGTTGCAAACACCAAAGACAAGTTAGACATGATTTCTGATGGTGTTAATAAGCTTGCATAATTAGAGAACTTGACAATATCAATGAAGAAAATTGTTGCCGAATTAATAGTGAAAGAAATATCTGTTTCTCCACCATTTAATCTTACAACAATGTTCTTTGGTAATATCTGATACAACAATTTCTCTGATTTGGCTTTGGCTTCTTCAGCTTCTTTCCTCTTTTGTATCTCTTCCAATTCATTTGTCAAAATGAAAACAATTGAGTTCAAATTATCATTTGAATCTTTCATTCCTATCATTGTTATTGCGAAAGGAATTTGTTCATTGTTATCATCATTGAAAGAGATATGATCTTGCCAGAATAATGATCCTTGGCCACTTGTCATCAAATCAATTTGTTGTTTGAGTTTTTGTTGATCTTGATCTGAAACGAAATTAACAATTTCTTGGCCAAGCATTTGATCTGGTGTTAATCCAATGTTTTCTTGAACACTCTTGTTGACAATTTCAACAACACTTGATTCATTAGTTATTAATATACATTCATTTGCATCCATGACAATAGATTTTTGAATTGACATCTTTTCTTTTGTAGATGTACCTCTTCCTTTGAAGAACTCAATGATTTCAGGAGTATTAATAATAGATTGTGGTGGTAAATGTTGTAAAAGAATCAACAAAACTTTGAAGTTATCATTAACAAATTTCCTGACGAACCAAGGAATAACAAACAAAACAAAAGTTAATACTAATCCAATGACTAAAAATACAATGGAATCTGTCATTCCTCTATCAAATCTTTTCTCCATCATTTCTGAGCATCTTGTTGTTGCTTCAGAGATAATTGGATATAAATGGGATCTCAACATATGAACAACATTTGTTCCTGTAACAGTACTTAATGTTCCACCATAACTTTGAGGGCTTTTAAGTACATCTTCAATGACATTTTTGAAAACTTCAACAAGGTTATTTATTCCTGTGCATGCATACATGTCATGTATTGTTTCTGGTTCTTTCTTCATTTCACAAATGTTCTTTATTTGTATTTCATCAAATGATTCATCGTATCTAAGGCTTGGCTTTAGATTGTCATCTCCATAAACCAATAATTTGTTGACTTTTACTAAACTCTTCAAATCAGATTCAGCGTTTTTAATTATTTCATCATTTGTTATGATTTTGTTTTCTAATGAACCATTCAACATAAGTAACTGGACAGTATTTGAACCAATTTGTGCTGCTAAAGGTAATCTTTGACATGAATACTGGTACCAATACGAAATTGTTGTTAAATCTTTATCTAACTTAATTCCTTCGTAACATAACAAAATATAAATTGCAATAATTGCAAAAATAATAATGAAATAGAATATAGCAGTATATACTAAAGTATTAGAATGTTGAATATTTCCTGTTGCTGTTTCAACATCACTGTTATCTTCATCAGTTAAACTCAATGGTTTCTTGGCATCTTCTTTGACAGAATTTTGTAAACTAATCAAAACTTTAATAAGTTTTCTAACTGTTCTATTATAAGTATAAATAATGACCATTGAAGGAACAGTCATTAAAACTAACATGAGAACAGATCCAACAATGCACCAAATTGTAAAGTATTCCTGGTAATCTTTTGACATTTTGATATTATAATTCAATAATCCTGTAAATGTTTCATCAGCATTTGCCGTAATTGTTGGAATATTCTTAGCAATCTGGCAGTAATTATTATCTTTGAAGATGTTTGTTATTAAAACACCTTGGTTATAATCACCAGCAATTGAGTTTTGCATGTAATCAACAGCAGCTAATTGTAATTTAAGTGATCCAGGGATAGTAGCAATAGGTTCTCCACCATCGCAAACATGGAAATTAGTAATAGTTTTGAGCAAAACAGGTAATATTTCATAGACATTTGTATTTCTTGCCATTTCTGCCAATTCATTTAATAATGAATCGAAATATTTCCTTGATGTATCAATGCAATAAAAGATCATTTGAGGGAAAGTTATATCAATTGGAACTAATGGTTGAAGATTATCTACTGTGATATCTCCAATTCTCAATTCATTTCCATCAAATCTTCCATTTTGGAACGCGAAAACAACTAAAGTATAAATGTTTGTCATGACATTGAAACAGATTGAGTAACAACTGTTTTCTATTTCTTTGTAACTTGTCTTTCTCCATGAAATCTTTGATCTGAAGAACAAGAAATATCCAATGAAGAAAACCAAAATCAAAACAATATTAAAGATGCATTGAATAACAATGAATTTGCTTTGTTTTGGTTTAAGACCACTTACTGCGTTATTAAAAGCCAATCTGACTTTTGAATCCCTCAAAACTTTCTTGCAAACGATTTCTTGTTTTTCAACATCAATTGACATTGATTCAAATAAAGAAGAAGAGTTTGTGGATCCATTGGAATTGGCTGATGATTGGCTTCCTTTTGAGTTTTGGTTATTATTATTACGGACAATGTTACCTTTTGTATCTAATATTCCATCTTTAAGATATATTGGGAATTTGTTAATCAAAGATCTAAATGAAACATCAACATTGAAGTTACGACCATCACCAATTGATTCAGCAATAACTGTTTGTCTGATGGAATTAGGGAATTCGCATTTGCATTCTAATAAGAAATTAGCGTATTCATTTCTTATTCTTAAGTTGTTTGGATTATTAGATAATGTTGACTTGAAATATCTATTGATATCAGCAATCATTTCTCCTAATGTTGACAAATATTTCTCATCACAATTGTTCTTGTCCCAGAAGTCTCTGATTGCTGATTTGCATTGTTCATTCTTTTGTTTGAGCTTTGAAAATGTCTCAAGAGTTTCTTTTGTATCTAAAATCAATCTTCGTAGTTTTATATGGAAAACTTGGTAAATTAAGAATCTGTCAACCAATGATAATTTCCTTTTCATTATAACTTTTTTGTACAAAATGTTCAGATGTCTGGATTCCGATGGGAATAAAGTGACCATTTGTAAAACAGTTGGTATTGCTTCTTCTAAACTAGAGTTCATGACACATTCCATGACATGTCCATCAACGAAATAATCACATAATTCTGCCAATCCAACAACAATATACATCATTGCATGTTGTGGACTCTTTAAAAGTTTTAATGAATTCAAGTATTCTATGACATTTGAGTTGCGTTCTTCATTGGCTGTCAGTTCTCTTTTGATCTTCTTGATCTTGCGGACAAAATAAATCTTCGAAATTATATAGAAAACAATCATACTAACTAAACAAACAATAATAGTATAGTTATAATTAAAAGCGTCAACGAAATAGATAACTAAATAGTTGATGTCCATAACTATCGTTGTCAGGCCAAATGCCATACATATTGTGTTTCTCCACTCTTCATAGAAAGGAACAAATGTCAGACGATAGCAAATATAAAGGGTAAGTATCATATGGACTACATCGCCAATAACATAGATCCATTCGGCGAAGAACTCGAAGATAGCGGACACTATAGAGAACAATGATGTAGCAAGTATCCATGTGGTGACGGAAAAGTAATCAAATAGAGGAAAAGTGAGATTTGTGAGAACAACTGATCTTGATTTCAAAAATGTTGAGAGCATGAAGATCGTTATTAGGGCTGCATATGATACTCCACCTATGACTACTTCTAATGTGTACAAACTGTTGGTTTCATACTGAAATGAAGTGATGCCATGATTAACTAAGTAAACGCATGGCATAATGAAGAGTGGATCGACTATATCAATGATAAATGAAGTTATATATAGTAGATACGCTGGTATTTCGTAGAAAACTTTGTTGTAGAAGATCATGCCGATGATCCATAGTAATGACAATACGGCAACACAGATATTTACAATGAGAATAGGGGAAAGTGTACCTGTACGGTTCAGAGGGTTTTGAAATGAGATGATTTCGATTAGTATGTTATAAAATTTTTCCCATTTCCCAGTGGACTGTTCAAAAATTGGTGTGTAAATCCAAAGAGTAACCGAGAGGATCTGTGCCAAGAGAAAAGATGAGACTATTGTCATAATCCAACTAGGAAATCTTGTTTTTTGCATCATTTGATCGAAAATTGGAAACACTCTATCAATTATTCCATTGTTTCCATGAATTAGTGAATTGGATTCTTTTGAAAATGAAGCCGAGCTTGCACTATTCATGGATTTCGACATCGAGGGTTCAGCCATTTTCAATTAAATGGAGATAATTTTTAAATAATATCAGAAAATTGCTTTAGAAATTTGAATCCAAAAGATCAATTTTCATAATTGCCATATGATTTAGAAGATTTCTTAAAAGTATGCCTAAAATTTCAGATTTGTTTAGTAACAAAATTTTCAAAAGGTTGATTATAAATATTAACAAATGTTAGTATTTGTATCGATTTCGATCTTTTGAAAGTGTTAAAAAGCTTCTCAAAAATTGAAATATTATAAAAACGGATAAAGGATTTAATTGATTAAATAACATTTATATTACAATTATCATTACAATTTTTTTAAATTCAATTTAAATCAATTTACTTTTAAAATTGGTTTATTTTTTTAAAATCAATCTATATATATGAACATATAATATTTGAAGCGGATGATAGTAAATTTTGCAAATTACCTCAAACTTTTCAGAGGATTGAGTTGCCACTCAATCCTCTGAAATAGTCTGTGGTAATTTTTAGTCTCTACACTATTTCAATATAAGCTCCATTTTTAAACAGTTTTTAAAAATCGAGCATTGAAAAGTGTGATGAGAATTTCATATTCAAAATTTCAATGTAATTATTGAATAACAAATAATTATCATTCATCCTGCATGAAATCATACTTTCACCTCAATTATAGGAAATTTTATTAACCGATATGATCGAAAATGAAAAGAATGAACGTTATAATATCTATGCTTTTATCTTCTCAAATTATTACTGTTTTCCAAATGCATTTTTTCACGAAGAATACAATGAATGCATAATTATATGCCATATTATCAACAAATATCATTGAAAAAGTCAATTTTACATAAATTTCTTTTCAAGACGTTATAAATTGGATTATACGGCTAGCATACTTAGATTAATATTCATCCAGCTGCATTATTTTCTCAAGAACTTGAATTGTTGGAAAAAAATCATTTTTCTTTTTTGGTGATGGATTACAATGTATCAAGTGAACATGCATTTATTTGACTAATAAATAATGTGTATGAAGATATATATTGTAATAAATGGTTTTATATTTAATCCAAATCGGTAACTATTGAAGTCAAAGGATAACACTGATAAAATATTTAAATATAAAAGACATAATAATAACTGTCCAAAACCTTTTAATCTTTCCCTAAACTTAAAAATATATAACAAAAATATTTCAAAAAAGGTTAAATATGAAGCATGTTTATCTTTTTCTGAATACTATTGCTGAAAATAACATAAATTAAAGAAATAATAATATTTTTTTAATAAAATAAACAATAAAACTTGAATCTTATGGTTCAATGTGATCATGAGGTTGCTCGTTCACATCAATTTGATCTGAAGATCCGTGATTATGATCATGTGAATGGTGATTGTTGTCATGGTCATGATGATCGTGATGATCGTGGTCATGGTCATGATCTTCGTGGTGTTCACCAGCAGCTGATAAGAGGTTAACGTGTGGACAACCAATTGAATGTTGGTAAACTGGAGGTGTTTGAAAGATCCTCTTGTCACTTCCAAAGGATGTAGCATAGAAGCATGATCCGATATGGTCTGTTCCTTGTGGGAAATCGTCAACGAATTCAATTTGAACTGTTGTTGAAAAGATCTTATGTGCAATCATGACGTTGTGAGTTTGTTCGAGAACTTTCTTGTTTCTGTCTTTCGAATCAACAACAATGTGTAACAATGCCAGGTATCTCTCCTTGCAAAGTTCCCAAACATGTAACTCGTGAACTGCAACCATGCCTTCAATCTTCATTAAGTCAATCTTCATCGAATTGACGTCAACGCCTGGAGGGCATGTCTCTAGTAAAACACTTCCTGTTCTTCGAAGAAGATTCTGTGATCCGTAAATTAAGATACAGAAGATGAGGATTGAGCAGGCTGGATCTAAGTAGAACCTGCCTTCCCATTTTGTCCAAAGGCAGACGCATGCTGAGATGCAAACAGCAACTGAGCCTAAGAAATCGCCTGTGATGTGTAAGAAAACACCTTTGAGGTTATCTGAGTGTGAATGGTTATGGAATATGAACATACCAATGAAATTGACAAGTAAGCCTAGGCCACCAACAATTAGAAGAGCAAGAGGCTCGACGATCTCTTCTACCTTGATGAAACGCTCGATTGCTTCAAAGAGAATGGTCAAGCATACTGCAAGAAGGAAAACTGAATTTGTGAAACCACCAATAACTTCTGAGCGGGCTAATCCAAATGTGTACTTGTCTGTTGGTGGTCTTTTGGCTTTTTCATGTGCAATTAAACCTATAACAAGTGATGCTTCGTCAGAAAGCATATGCCATGCATCTGATTGAAGTGATAATGACTTTGTGACAAAGCCTGTGATTAACTCTGCTAAGAAGAATACTCCTGTCAATACAATCATTGTGATTAAACGCCATGTGACGCCTTGTGCAGCATGATTATGATCATGATCATGACCATGGTGATGATCATGATCGTGTTCGTGTTCGTGTTCTTCATGCTCAGCATATTCAAGGAAGTGTTGGCAATCTTCTGGTTCAAGAAGTGCAACATTTGGATCATTGTTGTGCTCAGAGTGTGAATGATGGTGATGATGATGTCCGTCTCCACTACTGCTCATTCGAGTTGCGAAATGAAATGATGAGGTATGCATTCAAATTCATTTCAATGGAACTCGGCGGTTAGGCGAAATTTGTGAGGACTTATGACCCCCAAAGTATGGGTGTTAAAAAAATTATAAGCGGGATAACTCTTTGAAAATATTGCATGTCAAATGGTCAATAAAAGATTATATTTTTATTTAGCTAAATAACATGATTTTAGCATGGGGTTGTAACCCCTGTTAAAAATGTAAATAAGGAAAAAGAATTCGTCTAAATTTAACCATAATATGTAGTAAGATTAGGATAAAACTTAAGTTTATCCATGGGCAAGATCCCAGATCCAGCAGCAGAGAAAGTCTGGCTTGAAAAGTTCAAGAAGAGTGTTATCCACTTAGATCAATGGCAACTTTGGGGAACTAACAACAACAAGCCACCACTCAATCCAGAAACAATAATTAACCAATAATCCATCTGAATGAATAAACATTTAATGAACATTTTAAACATATTTCGATTTCTGGTAAAATATTTTAGCATTTTGAAGATATATTAATAGGCAAACAAAATGTTAGGAACTTTTCAAGATTCATATCATTTTCATATCTGAATTTGCTGTTAATTTTTACAAAATATCTCATCTTTTTGTAAAAATAACACATATTTAAAAAAGTAATTTATTTCAATATCAGGTTTTTATCTAATTAATCCTCTCTTTTATTTTTAGATTCTCCTTCTCCGGTTGTAGAAGAATACCAATGAAAGACCAATCAAAGCTAATGCTACGATACAAGCAATTGTAACTATCACATTTCTTGTTGTTTTTGATGGTTTCTTTGAATCAGTTGGCTTTGGTGCTGGAGTTCGAGGTGGAATCTTGGAAGCATAAAATCCTGTCTTCAATCCATTCCATATATACTCTTGATCATCAGCAATTGTGCAGTCATTTTGATAATATTCTTTAAATGTCTCCTCTGAATCAATTGTAAGTTTGATTCCAGCTAAACTTCCTGTTGAAGAGAACATTTCACGTGTTATATTACCTGGAGGCTTTTCTCCAAAAATAATATTTTTGAGAGCGCTGCATTCATCAAAAATATTGTTACAATTACGATTTACATATTGTAAACCTTTCAAAGATATTGTTTCCAATGCAGTACAGCCTGAAAAAAACTTTATCTCCTTCAATGTATTTTACAGAGTCTAAATTAAGCTCTTTAACAGAGTTGCAGTTATTGAATGCATTAGAATATATTCTAATGCACTTAGGAAGAGTGATTTGAAGAAGATTTGTGTAATCTCTGAATAAATTTTCTGAAACATTCTCAATATTCGGCAAAGAGATGTATTTCGGAGATTTTGGAAGTGAGGAAATGATTTTATCTGCAGATTTAACTCCTAATGTCAAATTTTCAAGTTTGGAAAATTGAGATATTGAAGTTTCATCCAATTGTTGACAGTTTGGAATATATAATTCAACAGAATTAGGATAAGAAAATGCAGTTGCATTCAAATATTTGAGACTTTGAAGTCTAATTGTTGATAATGAAGAGCAACTGCCGAAAACACGAGTATTCAGTGTTTCTAAGACAGGTAATTCAACATAAGTAATGCCACTGTCTTCAAATACTGATTCACCAATGATTCTGAGAATATCTAATTTTGCAATTTTCAAATTCTTGCAATTTCTGAATGCTTCATCCTGTATTTCTCTGCAAACAGGTAAAGAAATCTCTTCAACGCTTGAAAAATAGAATGCTCCGTTCTCTATTTTCTTACATTTTCGAAGATTAATTGATTTGAGTTTTGAAGCATTGTAAATATAAACTCTCAATTAATGAATCTGTAAAGGCAAAAGCTCCAATCTTTTCAACTTTTGCGATATTTATTTCTTTCAAATTTCGGCATTGGTAGAAACAGTTATCTGGAATGGATCTTACATTTGGAGCAGTAAATGATTCAATGTTACCATTTTGGAATGCATTTTCATCTAAATTTACCAATTTATTTCCAACTAAAGATTTTAAGTTGGAGCATTGATAGAAGGCGTAATTCTTTATAGTTACACAGTTAGGAAGAGATATATCCACGAACGATTTGCATCCAGAGAATCCAGATGAGCCAATTGTTTCTATATTTTCAAGATTTATGTTTGTGAGATTGAAACAATTACCAAATGAACTGTAGTTAACTGATTTCAAGTTTGGAGCATCAAATGTTACTATACTTTGGCAATAATAAAAAGATCTGATCAAAATATCAGTCACATCTGGAAAATGAACTTCAGTGAGGTTATAACATTGAGCAAAAGCTTCCCATCCAATAATTTTAACGCCTGGAATTGATACATTTTCAATTCCTGTTCCTGATAAGAAATTTGTAGGAACTTGTAAGGAAGAAACCGATTTTTGGATAATGAGAATCCTTAAAGAGCTTAATATACTCTTATTTATCATGGATAAATTGAAGTTTTCTGATATTACTTCAATTTTTTGAATTTCATTGGTGTTTATTGAGTTAGTAGAGAAAATATCCATTTAATCAGTGCCATTGTATTCAGTATTATCTAATTGGACTTGTAACGAAGATGTAATAGCAAGAAATAACGCAAGCATTTTTTTGATTGCACTTTACGATTTCTCACAAATAAAATTGAATAAAGCGAGGTTCCCGATAAGTATACAGTATAAGGTTTGACTTATAGTAATAATTTGGAAATATAATATTTGACAGTCTTAAATTTTATGACACATATGCATAGTACGATCAACTATTACGGTTTATTTCAAAATTGTGATGATTCAATTTTTACCAGATCAAATAAGGCATTTTATTATATCAGACTCTTTCGGATGTAAAACAAAAAATTCTCGTAATTTTTTTTAACAAATTTTCTCCAAACAAAATTTCTGATTGCATTTGCAAATGTCCTACATTGAACGAAGTGCATAAATTCTTTTGTAGAGTCAAATACATTTCTGAACCGAAATGCTATTTTCAACGTTATTTAATTTCAAAATTAATATCATCATGTTTTATTTTATATATAATACAACAAATAACAAGTACACAATAAATAATATATTTAATATTTATTATGAAATAATTATAGATATCATTTTAAAAATTGAAATCCTTTAATCATATATTCAATGATGTCTCACAAATCTACGATTCAGTGTAATGATGAATCACATTCATTTTGAAATAGATCCAACAATCTGAAAAAAAAAAATAATCGAAAGATTAAGCAAATACTATACAAGAATGAGGATACTTATTACAAATTTAAAAGGGTTTGCAACTAGCGAAACTTTTAGCAGATAGATTATGCAATGTTGGTGGTAATATGATTTCTTTCAGATAAATGAATTGGAGTGCCTTTTCATCAATGAACTCTAAACTATCTCCAAAATGAATATAATTCAATTTTGGACAATCGTGAATAGAATATTCTGATAATCTTTTAACATGATTTAAGTTTAGTTTTTGTAAACCGCCCATTTCATTGAATGTATAACTTGATAACTCATCAACTTTTGGAGGAATTGTTAATTTTGTTATTAAATCACACTTGGTAAATACAGATCCTCCTATTGTTTTTATAGAATCTGACAAAATAAGTTCTGATAATGAATTGCATCCGTAAAATGCAAAATTACGTATAGTTTCTATATTCTTTAAATTAACCTTTTTAAGTTCCATGCAGTTCTCAAAGCAGCTTTTTTTAATTTCAGTTAAAGAAGCAGGGAATTCGATTGAATCCAAATGTGTATGGCTAAATGCATATTCTCCTATTGATATAGTATTATCAGGAAGATTAATTTGGGAAAAACCACATGAATAGAATGCATAATCTCTGATGATAAAATTTGGAGAAGTAATGTTAAAAATGACTGTTCGTAGAGAAAAAATTTCATAGAATGCATTAGATCCAATTTCATAGATATTTCCTGTGATTGTTACAGTTTTTAAATAATACGTTGATTGCTTCCCGAATCCAGTGAAACTCCCATCACCACTTATAGTTGCTTCTGTATCATGAAAATCAATTGATATAGTACCAAGAATACTAAAGACAACAAACATTTTTTTAAAAAATATAAAACAGATTAAAATCAGATTTATAACTTCAACTTAACTCCAGTGTTCATATATTAAAGTAATTAAAAGATATATCAATAAAAACTTGCTCGATTTCACTATTTTAATTATAATTTTATTTAATTTTCTTTCTATTCTTACTTGGTTTATATGATTTTCTTATTTGAGTAAAAGATTTAATAAATTGTCTGTAATATAACTAAAAATAATCTTTGAAAAAAAATAATATAAAATTTTATTTTAGAATTTTGAGCAAAGGATACATAATCTTTGGAATAAGACTATCATCAAGGTTTCCTATAACATCAGGCGCAAACCAACCTTTTTCGAAAAGTATGTTTGCTGAATCAAGATTTCCGTTTTGCAAACAACGTTCGAAAATAGTAAGGCCATCAGATGATCTTTCTTTTGCAAGCTCTTCTGCGTTTGGTAAATTCTGAATCAGCCATTTGAAAACACGACGGTTTTTGGAGTCCAAAATTGACAAAGCCAAAATATTCATATTTTCTTGGTTTTTGAGATTAGTATCTGCACCATTGTTTATAAGTATCTGCACAGTTTCCAAAGAATCAGTTGCAACGGCAAGTTGTAGTGCGTTATCTCCATAAATGCATTTGTTGATATCAAACTTCTTTCCTCTCAACAAAGCGCTTACAGCTTTATGATTATTTTTCATGCACAAATAATAAAACAAAGGCCCACTTTTTGTGTTGATGAAAGGATCCAAATTCGGTGCGAATTCCAAGAAACAAGGTAACATTGATTGTTTCTGGTACATGCAATAATCCAAGCTTGATCCATTCTCTTTTTCTCTTACTGTATAATCTGCTCCATATTTCAGCAAAATCTTCAAAAAGTTTTCACTTTCACAACGAATTGCGAGATTTACGATACTTACATTTGCTGGCTTGAACACATTCGGATTCGCCTTATATTTCAAGAGTACTTCAATTATTTCATCAGGAGAACCTTCTTTGATTGCATGGAACAAAGGAAGAATTAATGTTGGATGTTTGACATTTGCATCGTAACCATTTTTCAAAAGACATTCAACAACTTCAGGTTTTTCCGTATCAATTGCATCGAAAAGATCTTGTGGATCTCTATCTCTTGGTTTAATTCTTTTAGCAAAATAATCAATATAATCAGTGTTTTCAGTTGTTATTGCATAACTTAAAATGTTTGGTGAATACTTTCCACCTTTTTCAACAATATACTTAATAACAGCGAAAGGTTTTTCAGAAGAACATAAATAATCAACTAAATATTGATCATCAGCCATTTTGTTGATTTTTGCACCTTTTTGAATGAGATATTCAGCAACTTTGATTTCAGAAACATAAAAAATTGGTGTCAAACCACTTGAATCACAAATATCCACAGGAACATTATATTTCTCAATCAGTTGCATTGTAGTTCTCATGCAAGAATTATCAACAGCAACATGCAAAGGTGATTCATTATTTTCAGCAAATTGTTTTGGATTTAAACCTTTTTCTTTTATGAAATAATCAACAATTTCTTCCGAATCAGTTCTTGCGGCATAAAAAAGAGCATTTTCTCCATCTTTCAAACCAGTAAGTTTGGCTCCTCTTTCAACAACAAGTTTAATAGCATCAAAGTTGTCATTGATTATTGTGAAATATAATAAACTCAAATTCCATTTCGTTGTAATGTTGATGTTAATTTTTTCTTCATAAATGAAATATTTCATAATTTCTGCTGATCTAAAATCAGGAAGATCAAACAACAAATCATCAACGCAATATCCATAAGCATAACAATAAAAGAATATAATAACATTCGTCCCGAAAATAAAGAATTTCGAGACTTGTCTGTCTTTTTCTTTGATTTTAGTTAATAATTCCATAAACAAATCAAAATCTCCACAATTTATCAATGCTTCAAAATGATGTGCATTTAAGGTTATGTTTTGTTCTAAATGCTTTTGTATAATGTGTCTGTTTCTTCCTTTAATGGCTGCAAATAATGTATCTTCATCGATTTCTTCACCTTTTTGTAATAAATAATCAAAACATTTTTCTGAACCATAAATTGCAGCTAAACTAATTGGACTTCTTGTGTAAATCGGTAGATCTTCGGAATTAAGATCTATATCTTTGAATGTTTTGAATTTATCGATGTCATCAAAGGCTATTGCTAATTGCCATGAGTCTTTCGGATATCCGTAGTAAAGATGCTGGAAATCATCATATGGAAATTCTGGATCATCCTTGTAATAGTAGGTCTCCATGAAAGGAAACTTGTATTTATAATAAAATAGGTTTAATATGCGATCTTTGAGAGTATCTGCGTAAATTGGAAATTTGTACTTTTCGTAGAGTTTAACAACAAGATCGAATATTTCGACTATGCCATAATTATGTGTTTGTTCGCAATGTTTGATTCTGCCAATGACAAATTGGATATCGACGTTATTTGTTTCAATATACTGCATTATTTTATCAACATCATTTTCTGTGCGTATATCTCGTATCATTGTCTCAACTTCGATGTATTTAGCAAACTTTTGTCTCAGAAATTCGAATTTTCCCTTTGCCTTTTCATTGGCCATTAAATTTGTCACTTTTTAATGAGAAATCTCAAATTTATAGAATTCACTTTGATAATATAAATAGCATGGATAATAGATCTCAGATTGTATTAAAAAAATTCGAAGAAAATACAATTTTGTGTTCAGAATAAATTATATCATTTCTCTCGCTATCCTCAACAACGTTTCAAAAATCTGATTAAATTTGAATGATTTACAATAACTTATTCAAAATCTTAATCTTACTGTTTAATGTTTGTTACATTTAGTCTTCTTGCTACCATATCAATCACATTTAATGATGACCATACAGAATGTACTATCAGTGGCGACGATATATTCTCTGGTTTCGATGAAATTCCAAAAAATTTAACAAAAGCAACAATTATAGGGAATATTACAGAAATTGGCAAAAAATCATTCTCACATATCCCAAATCTTGAAATTGTTAATTTCGAACTAACATCACAAAAATTATTTATCAAAGAATAAAGGTGACCAAACTATTTTTTGAAAGTCCGCCATAACTTTAATGGTACTATTTCAGCGTGTACAATGAATACAAAAATTCTAAGAGTGCCACATAAAATAGTACTTTAGACTTGAGTTAATGCTACCAAGCAAATGTTAAAAAGATGACTTTAGTGTTTTGATAATCAAAGATTAAAATCATTATTGTCTAAATCAATAATCATAACGACAGAAGTTAATGTTTTTTCATAAGTGCTTTAAATCCACTTTTAAAAGTATACCTCAAAAATCAAAATATCAAAAAAAAATTGGCCGATAGGTTTGGCTTTAATTTTTGTCTGCTTTTATGATTTGATATGGATGTTATAATTTTAAAAGTTGAGCCAAATTCACCAATAGATTTTTGAGATTTGCAAATACTCAATAATTTTCAGCGTGTTATCTTTTATTAAAAGAACTATTTGGTTTCAGTATCATATAAATTGATATTTACTTTCTATTTGAACCTTCATTTAGCTAATGATTTAATAATACAGATTTCATCTAGTCCTTATAAGAGAATTTTGAATTTGTTATAATAAAAAAACAAACAGATATAGCTTACACTTCTATAATAAAGATACCTTTTATAGAAATCAGTATGAAATGTGTTTTGGCTTATTGGAAGCATATCAGACATAATCGCCATAATCAAAAAATCTATATACCCAATAAGTAATAAATTTGTCGATATAGATTTTCCATAAAATTAGTTTTTAGTCTGATCTTAAAATAAATTTAATTTTTTATAAAAAAAATCACATTTAAAAGTACCTTTTTAGTAGCTCGAAATCCTGTTGGTGGATTTCGGGCGTACTTCAAAATTAGCTTTTCTTCTACATATGCAAGCTATATTTTAAATATGGAGCAAATCGGATCGGCGAAAGGAGTTTAGTTACCTTTCAAAGAATATGCTTTCCAAGATTCAATAAAACTAAATTCAATTAATCTTCCTGATTTTACTGAAACAATTGATTTTTACGCATTTTACAACTGTATTTCTTTAACAAGATTTGAAATTCCTTCATCGTTCAAAGAGATATCTGGCGGTTGTTTTTCCCATTGCACAAATCTTAAAAGTTTAGACTTGAAAAACATCGAAACCATAAATAAATATGCATTTATGTTTTGTGAAAATTTGTCTTCAATAAATCTTCCTGATTCAATTAAATTTATAGGAGAGCATGCATTCTATGGATGTGATTCATTGACTGAAATCACAATACCTCCTCAAGTTCAAGAAATTGCATCGTATTGTTTTTCAGTGATGAAAAGCTTACAAAAACTTAACTTAAATCATGTTAAGGGTGCACACGAGAGGATCATGTAAACTTCAGAATTTAGAACCTTATTTTTAGGCATTATCTTGGCTACCTATTTAGGCTCGAAAAGCAAAAAATATCAAAAAATACAACTTGAGTCCATTATGACCCTTTCATGGAGGTAGTTTTTATCCGCTAGTATTTTCCCTTTGAATCTCTTTACAATTCGAAATCAAATTCAAAACTCAGTAGAAGAAAGGAAGAATCGACTTACTACGGTTGTAATACGAATAAATACATATATTTAATTATTATTATTTACATAATAATTGTTTGAAACTCATATTCCAACAAATTTTTAAATAAAAACATTAAAATGTTGAAAATGTTCATATATTTTAATAGGGTTTTGGCACTTTATTGAGGAATTACTACATACATAGTCGAACTGAACTTGATATTTTGAAATTTAAATTATTTATCAAAATTAAAATTTAACTTGAAATTTATAATTATTTAGTCATATTTTGCATAATTCTAAGTAGATTTTGTAAAAAATCAAGAAAGAAAAATTTTAACGTGCTTTATTTTTTCTTTTTTATAATAATACATATTATTATATAATTAACATATTCATAATGTTTCACCCTTTCAAAAATATAATCCTCCTCCTCTCAAATAAACGTACATACGGGTGGCCTCTTTTTTCAAAAAATTAAAATTTGAAATTTTGGGCTCAAATATTAGAGATTTTTTCAACCTTCAACGATATATGTTGTCTATATCAGACCTCCTTTCTTTTTGATACTTAACATTGTTCCTAAATCTTAGCCGTTAAGGCTGTTCTGAAAATATTTTTTTTCGAAAAAATTCGAAAAAAATTCTTAAAATTCAAAAATCCCTTAATTCCTGAGGATTTTTGAAAAAAGTTTTTACATGAACATGTGTATATTATATGAAGTATATTGATAAGGTAAAAATCAAATTTTATTGCATATTCATCGAGAAAATAAACTAACGAATCCCTCAAAATTGAGAGGGTAATCCTCCTCTCAAATAAACGTACATACGGGTGCACCCTTAAGCGTATATATCAGAAAGCCATTTTTGAATGTCCAAACTTGAGATCAATCAATTTTGGTGATAGTTTAAATTATATGCAAGAAGAAGCAGTAGAATGTGGACTTGAAGATGATTGCATTTTCCCATCAACATTAACCTATTTCATTAGAAACTCTTTAGTTGGATATGTTAATACATTGATATTTAATGCAGATGATATTATAGTCGAAAAAACTAAATTTACTGCATTTTCAATGAAACACCTTATATTTAAAGGAAATACAGCCTTTATTAACGAAGAAACATTTAGCAATTGTTATAGTTTAGAATCTGTAATATTACCAAAAGATATGCCAATTATTAAAGCTGATGTTTTCCGTTATTGCATTAAATTGAAAAGCGTTCAATTTCCTGATAATCTAGAAACTATTAGATCATATGCTTTTGAATCCTGTGAAAGTTTAAACACAATTAACTTTTCAAATACACTTTGGGAAATATTTGAAGGAGCTTTTAGTTCATGTACATCATTAACAGAACTTAATTTTCCTAAATCTCTAAATGCATTTAGTTATACCTCATTTATGGGATGCAGTAATCTTACTTTAGTCATATTTAATTCAAAAGTCAAAATCTTCGACTATGCCTTTTATTCATGCTATAATCTCAAAGAAATAAGATACAATTCTTCCCAGATAGACCAAATTTATATTTCTTACATGGTACCATATATAAATTTAGTGAATGTAAGCAAAAATATAACAATATATGCACGAAGAGATCTCTTCAGTGAAACAAAAAATCTAAATATGAGTATATCTTGTGAGGTTCAAGAAATAAATTCTGGAGAACTGGATGGGCACAATGATTTCGTCAATCTTGAACAATTTGCTTATACAGGATTGACAGAAATCTCAGGAAATATGTCACTTCCTGACAATGTTTCATGTATAAACTTAAATCCTGAATACAAAGGAAAATTATTTGGTAAAAGATTGTCAAAATACAGGATATGTGGAAAAGATTATAGTTCTAAACTGGGAACTGTTGCCATAATTGGAATTTCACTATCATGTATTGTTGTTGCCTCAATTATTATAGTTTTATTAGTCATATACATATTAAGAAGACGCAAAACAAAAGGCTTCTCAGAAATTGTCACATCTACCGTTTAAATTCTTATTTATTTAAATAGTTTCCTAATGCCATGAATAAATGATAAAGTAGTTTAGAATTATTTACCATTATGAAAGTAGTTATTTATAGTGGGGTTTATTCTAGCTCTCTTGTACATAAACAATAAAATAAATTCAAATACAAACGATGAAAACAACATATTAGATCCTTGTCACTTTTTGGATCAATTTTTTAAGAAGTTAAGGGTGGCGGAAAGTGATGTGATTGAATAACAAAAAGTGAAAATAACTAAATAAATATTTGAAATTCTTTTGTTATTGTAGCATAACTAAATAGTATATATAAACAAGTCTTTACTACAAAGTTTGTATAGTCTGAGGTCTCTATCTGGTAGAGAAATAATGAATGGAAAAAATGAATTTTCAACTGTATCTAGTCTCTGGTTATTGAATTAATATCAAAAATACTTAAGGTATGCAATATAGGTACATAAATCTATCTTTTCTATTGAGCAAAACACGTATTTATTAAATTCGTCCAAAATGCAATAAGTGATGAGATCTGGAACTACTCATCAAATTTGCACAAAATCAATGTATGAGAATAAATAACATATAAATACCAATTACTTCCGATACTTTTCGTTACAATTTGCTCCCATTCAGAGTTTAATTAGATTTGTATCTAGTCTTTCAATATAAGATAAGGAGTCTTTCTTTATATTTAAATATATATAAGCTATTGTTATCTATATTTTCTATTGAGTAAATTTTGTGTTTAAAGCTCCAATCATGAGATATTTAAAGTTTTTTACCCCTATCAAACGCATAATTCACATATTTATTATAGATCCAAGGTGATGTGATTTTTGCATCCCTGGGATGGACGATACACCCAAAGTGTCACCTTTTTTGGGATAACATGAATTTGAAATATCATGAGAGTTCTGCAAACCATATGCACAATATCTATTCAGCCTGACTTCTTGTATATATGAGTTAGACTTCTTAAATATTGTGCTTGGGGCGATATAAGCATTTCCGAGATTACCATCGTGCTCTATAGTATGCTACTTCTCCCTGGTTCTAGCTCAGTTCCAAGGATATTGGCGTTCAAGGATTTGGCAAGGTCCTTCCGAAGTCTCTCATTCGATGAGAGATTTCGGAAGAATCTTGCCTTAAAGTACTCCAACTCTTGTTCTTTTGTTCCTAAATAGTGAGAAAAGTTATTTGACTACTTAAGGTAGAGAATCCGAGGTCCCTCATTTGATGAGAGGCCTCGGATAATCTCTGCCTTAAAATTGTACACTTGTAGTCCATGAGAGTGTAAGTATACATTGATAGGCCAGCTTTCTTCTGAAGTCTTAGATTTGATGAGAACTTCAGAAGAAAACTGTCCTATTTTATAGTAAAAGGAGTTTCAGGAGCTCCAAAGCTCCCTTTCGTAAGGATTAGGAGCTTTGGAGCTCCTGGTTCGTAGATGTGTTTCGCATCTTTCATCAGCAAAGGACATTTACCATCTGGGACTCTGTTGATGGAGACTCTGGAGCTCCAAAGCTCCCTTTAGTAAGGATTAGAAGCTTTGAAGCTCCTGGTTCGTAGACGTGTTTCCATCTTTCATCAGAAGAGGCCCAAATGGTAAATAGCCTCTGCTGATGAGCTTCAGGAGCTCCAAGGCTCCCTCTCGTAACGATTAGGAGCTTTGTAGCTCCTGAAGGTAAGGTAGGATTGCTCTGATCTCTAATCAGTAGATGCCATGCCTCATTATGAACTCTACTGACAAGAGATCAAGAGCTCCAAGGACTCCCTTTTGAGTTAGTGGCGTTCTCACCATTTAGTAGGATTGCTGATCCTACTAATGAAGTGATCACTTAGTATACGTTTTGAATAAATTGAATTTTTTTTAGAATTTAGTATTTTTTATAGAAATCACATGTATATTATAAATACATAAATATATTCTTTAATTCAAAAAATTCAATTCGGTTTGGGGATGGGTATCCCAGCCCAAGTATTCAATTTTATTCAATTTTTTAAGAATTTTGGGTTGGGATGCCCAGACCAAAACAAGCTTTATATTTTGATGTGTAGATACGTATGTGTGCATCATTGTTGTGTTATATATTATGTTTTAATGAAAAAAAAATCTGATTCAAAAAAAATTATCACTAATTAGTTGATAATATAAAGAAAAAATAGATAAATTGTATGTTTTGAGAGTATTTATCCACATTCACTCATATGAATTTCATTAAATAGTGTCTTTTTACTCCCAAATTTATTTTGAATTATTGAAATTAAAGAAAAAAAATCAGAAAAATTTCTCGAAATTTTTATTTTCAAAAAAAATTTGGATTTTATATTGAAAACTGACACTGGGAGGACGATAGGGCTGGGATTGGAGATACCCCCCTCACTTGGGAAAAATACGGATCTATACATATTTATCATAGGAGGGAAAACCAAAAGCTTTCATATATGATAATGAAATTATGGCACACATATACTACTACAAATGAATTTTGTATCCATATAATTTTTCCCAAAAGATATCAAAAATATGACGAGATAATAGCATTTTATTTTTGGTCATTCACTTCACTTTCCGCCACCCTTAACAAAGAATTGAATAGAAAAGAAATTATCGTTATCCCATATCAAACCGACTTATCTAAGAATTTATTCCACTTGACTACAATGGCATGTTGTATAGATGGATAAATTCGTGTTATAAAGTTTGAATACTTATGAAATTTTCTTGATGGATCATAAATTATTGTTATCGTCATATTCGAATAGTCTCTTATTCAAATTTTTGATAGAGACTCACTCAATATTGAGGCAAAAAACGATAGGGAGACTTTACGTAGAAAAATGTGTTTATTAATATAAAAAGAATCTTTATTACAACTAATATAAAAGAAACAACTTGAAGTTCAAACAGAACTCCCTTGGTTAATCTTTGAATCATGATGGTTTGGATTTGGTAAAATGGGAGTTTTTCTTACTAGAATGGGTTAAACTGTGAGATTTATTACTATTGTGGCGTTTTTTCATAGAACTTTTTGTCCTGGTAACCAAAGCTGGTCTCTTTGGTTTTGTTGAATTTGTCACTTTATTTTTGAATTTAATTGGCGTTGAATTGCCAGTTGGAGATGTAGTATTGCTTAATAGACTAGAAGTATTTGCAACAGTCATATTACTTGGATTGGTCAAATTAATTTTTATTGAATTCAGAGATGAATTCTGAGTTGGAAATGTAATATTAACTAGTACACTAGAATTAGATACCCTTGTTGCATTAGTCAATACTATTGGATCTTTCTTGGTTGAATTAATCAAACTGATATCAGTTGCATTATTAGCTGGCATAGAAGTATTAACTGACAAACTAGAACTATTTGCAACTGTCATATTACTTAAATTGGTCAAACTACTATTGATTTTCTTCTGAGCTGAATTAGTAGTTGGCAATGTAGTATTAACTATTAAACTGGAATTATATACATTTGTTGAATTAGTTAATACTACTGAATCTTCCTTAGTTGAATTGGTCAAACTTATATTGGAATTAATATGAGTTGAATTCCTATCTGGCAGTGTTGTATTAACGTATGAACTAGAACTATTTGTAACTGTCATATTAGTTGTATTAGTCAAACTACTATTGAAATTAAAATGAGTTGAATTACTAGTTGGTAATGTAGAGTTAACTAATACATTAGAACTATTTGTCTCTGTTGAGTTAGTTAATACTATTGGATCTCTCTTTGTTGAGTTAATCAAACTAATATTGAAAATATTTTGAGTTGAATTACTAGTTGGCAATGAAGTGTTAACTAATAAGTTGGAACTGTTTGATATTGTCGCATTATTTGAGTTTTCCAAACTAATATTAGTTTTAATTTGAACAGTATTATTAGTTGGAACTGTGGTATTCACTCTTATGTCAGAGTTATTTGCAGTGGTTATATTGGTTGGGAGTGTTGGCTTTGGAGGCAATTCAGATAATTTAACTTTACATAATTTTGATTTGTGCTGAATGTTATACCACATTAATCCTTCACCAGTATGCTTCTCCAACTCTAAAATCTGATCCCAGCCATGAGGAAATCTGTTCAGATGAATTGCAACGATGTCATCTGCAGATTGAGGTTTTCTGAAACATGCATTTGGTGTATTTTCAATATCACCGCATTCAGGCATTGTTTTCATATTAATTGGCAGGACATAATCTAATGGATGACCGACCATGTGAGGAATATTGCAAGAAGCAGGTGATTCTCCGATATCCCATATAAATTCATTGAATTCTACGTCATCCGCCCAGACAACCTTTTCTTTGATCCACTTTACACCAAATTCTGTGAATTTATATGCGGCTTTTCTTGAAAGAATCATGCCACTTCCACCTTGGATGAATGGTTTCATGTGTCCAACACATCCACCAAGAACCACTGTTTCCTTATTTGTATCATAAAGGATATTCAATTGATTAACAAGTTTACGCAGGCGGGTAATGCTAACTGAAACATCATCATTCGATATCCATAGCCATTTGTAGGATGTATTGTAATAAAAATAGTATGCGGCTGATAATTTTTTGGCGGCCCTTTCACTATTTTTATCATACTTAATAATGAATTTCGGAACAATTGTCGAATGATTGTATGGAATATTTGGATGTCCTTCAATAATATAGCTGTAACCAAATTCAAAATATTTCAAGTATTGTAGCCAATTAGTATATTGAAATCTTCTTCTGTGGACACTAGACATAATATCGCCCGTAACAAGGCCAAAAAATATTCCATTATTCGAAATTGCGGATGAATTGATACCAACAATGGCTTCAAAATCAGGAGGATCATGCGTGTTTACAAGCTTAAATGAAAATAAAACAGTTGGTATTATTAGGAGAATCTCCACAAATACAGAGAAAGAGAATTCACCCACACAAAACATTTATAGCCAAGGAATTTCACAAATCGTGGTAATTGAAAATTTTGATTGGGAAATCATTTTCAATTTTCAATTTCCCAAAAATTAGTAAATTCTGCATCATTCAATGAAGAATAAAAATATAAAGTTCCGATAATTTGCAAAATTCAATGGATAAGAAGATGTGAATTGTTTTGGAATTGCAATTATTAATCATTATATCTTCAGAAAAGGATGGTTTCGAATTGAAATAGTTAAGAAAAAATAATTGACAAACGGTTTTAGAATCTGAAACAAAAATATCATCGGGAAACTGAGATGAATTTTTAAAATACCATGGATTGTCTAGCTTCCAAGAAGTTTGTAATCCTACACATTATTGGCACCATTATTTCGAGGAGAAAGATTAATTTTGAAATTTGATCTTTATTTTTATCGAAAATATCATTTTTCGCTTTTTGATATATGAATAACTTAAACAATGGCCATTGTTTTTCGATAGCCTAAAGTTTAACGTGATTTTCTTCATGATTTCAGATGAATTTCCTTATTTGGCGTTTTATTTATTATTGAAACTCTATAATTCTATTTCGAAATGGAGATTTCCCAAATATTTAACAAGATAAGAAAAAAGAGTAAAATTATAATTATTTCAAAATTAAAGAATTACATTGATAATGTGAAGAAGAAATACATGAATTTTCCATTATGTATCTTAATTAAAGCGAAATATAGCAAACAACAAATCCAAAGTGGAGTAGTATATGTTGACGGGTTTAGTGACTTTTTTTGTTACATCTATATATAGACGATGCATTAAAATATATTTATTTATAAATCATTAAAAAATTAACATTAATTTTAAAATAATTTATTTTTTTATCTTTTATAAAAGAAGCTATATATATATGATGTCAGATATTCCGCGATTAATTAAACATCATTTAAATCCTGAATGGGTTAAACTTCAATTTAAAAATGAAGATTGTGAATTATTAAATGAATATGAAAGCCAAAATAAGCTAATGAGGTATAAATATAATGATAAAGAATATTTAATTTCATGGAATCAATGGAGTCATAATCAAAGACCTCATAAACGAGAAGAAGAAATTGAAAATAATGAAATGGAAATCATTGATGACATTAAAGAGGATGGAATTCCTAAATTTTGTAGAAAAACCTTTAGAACTAAGTTAGGAGCATATAAACGTAGAGTATTAAATCCTGAATATCTTAAACATCAATTTAAAAAGGAAGACTGTGAATTATTAAACGCTAATGAATATGAAAATGCTAAATCAAAACTGAGATATAAATATATTGGAAGTAATGAAAGGTGTAAAGATAAAGATAAAGTTTATTCAGTTTCATATAATAACTGGCACACGTTAGGGATAAGAAAACATTTAGGAGATTATGGTAAAAGTTCCGAATTCTTCAAATCTAGTATGTACGAGAGAATAAAATAAATCAGATATAATTATTTTCATGAATGAAAGATTCACTACCATAATGAAATAAAAAATAATTTTTTTAAAAATAAACTTTAAAAATTAACGTCTTACGAAAAATTAAAACTTAGTTATGTTTATTATTTTATTTTTTTATTTTGTTTGAAATGAGCGTCAAAACTAACAACGTTAAAAAATTAGGATTCACAAACGGGGAAATAAAGGATATATTAGAGGAGGTGGGTTATGAAGTTGTTAAATATTATTTAAGAAATTGTAAAAAATTCGCGGAGTTATTAAATGATTTAGATTATGATGGAAAAATGAATAAAGATGATGTTATAAATTTCTTATATCCCACATCTGAAGAAGAAAAACCTAAAGAACCTGATGTTTTCCCTGAATATTATGAAGAACGAATTAAAGATGATGAATACGATGAAATTGAAAGACTGGAAAAAATAAGAGATGAAATAGATGAAAAAATTAAGGAATTAAGAGAAGTTGAAAAATATAATGAAAATGAAGTAGAGGGTTTAATGAATATCCCAGCTTCAGAATCAGAAGTTCAGAAATCTCATGAAGAAAGATATAAAAATTATGTCTCAGAATCAACACAAAATTTATTAGATGGTGATATTGACGAAACACTTTCAGAAGAAGGCACAAAATTTATTCATAAACATAAGCTTCAGTTTATTGATAATGAAGAATACCCCTGTATCCTACTTTCACCACCTTTAGATTCCGAAAAATTCAAAAAAGCACTGAAAAACGTGACATATGCAACAAATACGATTAAGAAAGAAGACCATGATATTTACACAAATTATTATTTAAATAAATGTACAGGTGTTGATAAAGTTTTTGATTTGTTAGATAAAATATCAAAAGAAATCATTGGAACCTATAAAATTTTATGTGATTGTGGTTTCATTATTGAAGATACCAATAATGTTTCATATGAAAGAACAGCACCGAAGGAAGACGAAGTGGAAAGGTCTATACCATTCGTTATTAAGAACATAAAAGATATGAAAACTTATAAACATTATATTTATTCATTTATTTCAGAAAAAATGGAAGCAACCCATAAAACATCTTCTCATCATTTTATAGCTATTCATACATTCCTTTTCAAAGTTGTGAAATTAAATAAGACAGGAATTAGATTTAATGTATCAGGGTACGCATTCTTGAGTAAATTAAAATGTATTCGTCACGTCGCAGATGATAAAAATTTATGTGTTCTTAATTCATTTTATGGACTTTAGCCCTGGACTCTCTGAGTCTCAGACTTTAAAAAAATAAACTTTATTTTTATATTTATTTTTTAATTTTTTATTCTTACATAAATGAATAAAAATGGAACAGCTAAAATGAATGATAATCAAATAAGAGCCGAAGGTAGAAGGTTATTTAAACGCTTCTATAACATTCCTGATGGTGTTAATCCTAAAACTCGTAGAAGTTATTTAAATGAAGCAATAGATGCATATGAAGGATTTGACATTTCATCAGAAAGTGAGAGGTTAGCAAGAATGTTAAACGTTAATATTGATTTTTATTATTGTGACCCTCAACCAGAAGACGTAGACATTAACAAGGTAGACTTTCCATTAGTGGAATCAATAATGATAGATCCAGAATTTGAAACAGTAAATATTTTATTAACACAGAGTCCATGTGGAAAACTTCACGCTGACAGAATAACAGACGTTGAAGCACTCACAGGATATAAAGTTTGCCCCTTTTGCAAAGAAGAAGTATATTCTATCCGTGATGATCCGGAAAGGAAAAACCAAAGAAGATTTTTAAAACATTGTGAGAAATGTAAAGAAAATAATGGAAGATTAATTCAAGACGTTCAATTGCAAAACACACAACAACCATATACACCACATATCACGAAACAGAAGATATATCAATGGCTATTAGCACATAATTTGCAGGGATATTATAAACCAACAAGATATTATATTACTTTTGACTTCGAAACATTAGAGACTAAAGAAGAACTTCAACTTTCTGAATGTGCAACTTTGAACGCTTACTTAAAACCATTTATGGTATCATCAACTGTCAAAATAAAGCCGCAAAGCGGCGAGGTTGTAGACCGTGATAAAACATTTACGAGGAATTTTTGCTTAACATCAAGTGATTCGTTCATCTCTGATTGGATTGAATTTTTATTTTCAACCTGTTCATTAGTTGCTAAATCAAATATTGAACAATATGAAGAATTAATGAAGCCGCAAACGGACTCTTTGAGTCCTGAAGGTCTTTCAGACCAAACGGCGGGGACTTTGTCCCATACATTAAATGAGAAACAAAAGGAAGCAATGAAAGAGCTTTTAGATGAGGAATTCAATAAAGTGAATATCATAGGTTTTAATTCGGGAAAGTTTGATTTAAATTTAATTCTTCGTGATTTAAATACTGCAAAATGGAAGATAAAATCAATGCTGGGTTCTTCTTCTCAATTTAAGCAAGTCATAGTAAAGAAAACAAACTGTCCATATGAATTAAGATTTATTGACATCAGAAATTATATAGCGGGTGGAACATTAGACCAATTCACTCAAGATTTCGGAAACAATAAATCACGTGTTAAATCCTTTTTCCCTTATCAATTCATCACATGGGAGAATTACGAAGATGAATTATATAAAAAGGAACCATTCACTCAAGATTCATTTTATTCAGCATTAACACAAGAAACAATATCCGATTCAGATTATCAAATATATCTCAATGATGCTAAAAATTTTGAGAATAGATTAGAATATTTTATTCATTATTGCAATAAAGACGTTGAAATTATGATTGACCCAATTGATAAAATTATCGAAGAAACATTTGTTTATAAAATTGACATGCTTCATAATCTTTCTTTATCATCGAATGCATCAATGATTCGTTACGCGTTAGCATATAAGAACTTCAATCCTAACGAAACATATCCAGAAGAAGAAAATGTGGAATCAAGTTTTGAATTAACAAAAAAGTATTGGAAATATAAAATTGAATCATATAAGAAACAAGATGAAAAAGCAGAAAGGGATACTAAAAACAATGTTTCAATGGATGACTATCAATACTATCACGATTTAATCCTTTCATCTAAATGCAAAATGTGTGGTAAAGCGTTTACATATGCAAATAAACCAACATTGGATAGAATCGATAATGAAAAACCACATACCAAAGAAAATTGTCAGTTAATGTGTTGTTATTGCAATGTCGTAAAATCAAATAAAGATGAAGATGTTCAACGTTTAAGAATCAATTTAAGAAATTATGCATTAAAAAATAATTTACCAATGACTTTAGATTCAGTTGAAGCTTATCACATTCTCCGTAATGGAATTACTGGTGGTCTATCAAATGTTCAACATCGTGTTAATCTTAAAGGAATCACGCACATTAATAAACTTTCATATAATCCAGAAACTAAAACTGTATCAAATGAGGACACCACCAACATTATGACTCATTTCGTTGGAGTTGACTTTAATTCATTATATCCTTCATCATTTTCATCTAATCCTCATGATTTCATTCAATATACTGACCATAAAATGTATATGCCGGGAAGATTGAATGGTGTTATCATTTGTGATACAGCAACAAAGAAAGCAAAAGCACTGGGAATAATTAAGAAGAAAAATACTTTATTCGTGGCTGAAGTAAAGGGTCACATTGATGAAAAATACATTAATGATTACATAAACTTTTTACCGATAATAAGAAACTTAGATATTATCACAGATGAAAAAACAATTGGCAGTTTTATGTATAATTACATGAAATCAAACAATCTACCAGTTGACCAGAAACAGAGGAAATTAACTCAGTTAGCATCAACACACAACCAATATCAACCATTTTCTTCTTATTATCTTTGGTATCTAATAGACAGATTTCATTTTATCATCGATGATATTCAATCAATTTTAACATTTACGAAAAACACTTGTTTTAATGAATTTGCGAACGAATTTATGAACGAAAGACAAAAGGCTGAATTAGAAGGAAATAAAGGAAAAAGTTTATTTTGCAAGATTTCACTTAATGGATCATATGGTTACGATGCAATGAATACACAAAATTACGCAAAGACTAAAATAATGAATGCACAGAAGGCACGCGTTGCATGTATGTCAAATAAGTTTAAAAACATAAGAGAAATAGGAGAGGATACATATCAAGTGATGCTAAAGATAGATTTTATAGATGTGATACATGTTTACAAGAGGCATTCTTCACTTTAGATAATGCTAAATACTGGTATTTGGTTTTCATTTATGATTTTATGTATAAATGCATGGATGTTAATCGTTTTCATTTCATTGAAGGTGATACTGATTCATCTTATTGGGCAATCGCTGGCGACCCAAATCTTCCTAACACTCAAGCATTTCAAGCAATTGTTACCGATAAACAATTTTATGATAAAAACATTTTCAAATTCGCACCTTTTGATTTCTTCTGTTTTGATGAGAAATTTAAACCTAAATTAAAGAATAAAGCTGAAGAAAAAGCACATGAGAAGAAGTTATTGGGTTTAGCAATTGAGAAACAAGGTGATAACATGGTTGCTTTATGTCCTAAGTGTTATACATCATTCAACGGTTCAATTGATGGAAGTGATTTTAAAAAGATTGCACAAAAAATGAAAGGTGTTAGTTTACGACAAAATAAACAATTAACACCTAAAAATTATTTGGATATAATAAATGATAAATTGATATTTGATGGTCAGAATATTAATTTACAACTTAAAAATGGGTCAATGACTCGCTTAACAATTGGTAAGACTGCATTAACAGGAGCACACACTAAGGCTGTATGTTGTGAAAATGGATGTTGTATGCCATTTATTTAATAAAATACCACAGAAGAGACAAAAGGAACCGTTAATGATGGTTTTGATACTTGATCAAAGAGGTGGGCACCCTTAAAACATTGATTTTATTTTTATATAAATGAATAACACAGATTTAAAAATTTTAATTGATGATTTAGTATTTAATCAAAATTTCTTATTATTATGATTTAAAAGCATATCTCCAAAAATATAATAATAATATAACGGGTGATGATATGGAATATTATTATCCATATTATAAAAATGAAATTTTGAAATATCATAATAAAATAATTTCTGAAATTAAAGACAAAATTAAAAATAATGAATATCAAAGGGAAAAACTAAATCACACTTAAACAGTTGAAAGATTTCAAAAATAAAGTATTAACAGAAGAAGATATTGATGAATTATATAAATTATATAATCCTGAGCCGCAAAACCAAAGGAACAAAAACAAAAGGTGCAAAACACCCAGGTCCTTCAGACCATAAATGATGCACAAGCTTTAATTTATGATTCATTAGTTAAACCATATTCAGCCCGACTTTTAAATGAAGATCAACTTTTGGAATTCATCCTTCAACATAAACTCGAAGCGGGAAAGTATATCAAACCTTTATATACAGCATATTTAAAACAAATGAATAGAATACATCCAGAATTAATGAAGGAAGGAATGAAATCCAAAATCAAAGCAGATAAAATTAAACCACTTGCAACACCAAAACCTCCAACGACAGTACCGCCTCCTCCTTCAGTTAATCCTTCATCATTCACTTTATTATATCCATTTCAAACATTAAAGAAGCAAAAAGATTTTAAAAAGGATTTCAAGATATTAAATAAACCAATTGACCCGAAAATTCAACCGTTAAAGGAAAAATTTAGTCGACCTTCATTTGCTCCATATCCATATTCATACGAAATCGATCATCTGGAATATTCAAAAGGAAACGTTACTTATTTATTTGCCATTAACATTAACACTAGATATTTATATTGCATTCCGGTGAAAGGGAAAACAGAACAGGAAACAAGAAGAGCTATTCAATACTTACTAGATCATGAAAGAGTAGATAATATCAGGGGTGATGGTGATAAAGGATTTCAGGCAGCTATGCTCATTATTTCCCACAAATTAATTTTTACTTTTCATCCTCTCCATATACGTTTCATAATAAAATAGTTGATGCGGTAATGAGAACTCTTAGAGATGCGTTAGGGGTTAACGGTCAGATATACTGGGATGGAAATCATGACTCCATCATACAGCAGTTAGTATATTATTATACAATAATACATGGCATAGAACTATAAACATGAAACCGGTGGAAATGAAAAATGATATTTCAAAAGAATGGGAATATATTAGAAAGCAAATGGAAAAGTTAAATGATGTTAAACGTGAACAAATTAATTCGGGGCTCATGAATTTTAAACAAGGAAATAAAGTTTTTGATTCATCTCGATTATGGAAAAACTGATAAATCAATGACAAAAAGAAGACGAAGATTTGACACAATAGCTGAATTTGTTAGATATATTAACGGCAATGCATTAGTTGAAGTTGACAATAAATTAATAGAAATTCCGATTTATTTTATTACTCCATTATATTTAAATAATATTTAATTTTTTTTATTTCGTAAGAAATGAGTGACAACAAAGCAGTCAAGAGTCCAGACAATGAATATAAAAAGAAACTAAACAGAATTAAATCAAAAATATGCTATTACAAAAAGAAGTCGCAATGCGGTGGGGTTGAAAACAATAAAACTAATGGAACTGAAAACGATAAAGAGAGGAAAGAAATAATCGAAAAATTAGAAACTTACCGTTCAATCATTAAACTGAGTGAAGCAAAAATAAAAGAATTTAATAGAATAAATAAATTGGTTGGAAGAGATGAATTTAATAAAGATGAATTTTTAAACTCAATCCAAATTTAATTTTTATTCCTCTTCGACAACATCTCTCTTTCCATCATTACTGCATAACCACATTTTCTCAATTTTAGTGGTTTGTTATTTTTAACATGTTCTTGCATCATTTTTATCATTTCCTCCCTTGTTATGATTCGTGGTAAATTTTGAGCTTGTGGGGTATTCATTTATGATAAAAATAAAAATTTATAGTTATTTTACATCATTTTAAAGTTCATCGATTTGAATGATAAGAAAATTTATTTTTGAAGAACTGAAGGGGTCACCAGGTCACCAGGTCATTTAACTTCTCTGAAAAAATGATGACAACATGACATTTTGACAACAACATGGGTTATTCAATAATTAATTATTTTTGAAGAACTGAAGGGGTCACCAGGTCACCAGGTCACCAGGTCATTTAACTTCTCTGAAAAAATGATGACAACATGACATTTTGACAACAACATGGGTTATTCAATAATTAATTATTTTTGAAGAACTGAAGGGGTCACCAGGTCACCAGGTCACCAGGTCATTTAACTTCTCTGAAAAAATGATGACAACATGACATTTTGACAACACAGCAGGATTAATGCAAAAATAAATTCAAATCATACTTTATAAAGCTTCATTCACAGGTATTTCATCGTCAGTAAATGAATCCTCATTATCGTTTGGTTCAATTTGTTTATATAATCCTTTCATTTCTTCTTTCAAAACATAATACCATGTTTGTTTACCATCTATTTTTCTTTGTTTCCTTTCACATTTATCCTTAATGCTCATTTGAAAGTTTTTGTCTTTCATGTCTGATGGTTTGCAGAATAGAGCATTTTTACACGTCATACCTGCACATAATTCATCATAATGTGTATTTATCCATTCATCTAAAGGATTTGTTGATAATTCAATTAAATCTTGTTGGCTTCAGTCATCGGAATGATTCGTACATTAAATGATGAAAGGTCATATTGCATAAAATATGTTAAAAGGTTATCATAAAATTCCTTTGTGCATGAATCCATTAAATTCTTGAAGTAATCAAATTGACCCTTGAATTTACCATTAACTCTTAAAACTACGTATCTTCTGTCTCCAACTTCAATTTTGACAGGGTAAACGTTATTAGTTACGAAAATGAAGTTTGCAACATTCTGAGCAGTTCTTCTGGGTTGATTCTTTTCATTAATTCTAATCTCATTATCCGTATAATTGATTTCAAAGCGTTGAAGTTTGCGAGTCTGTCTTCACCTACATTCTTGAGTTCATTAAGTACAAGAAACATTTTATTCTCAACTACTGATTGAAATTACCCGTTAGCTCACTATTTCAGTAATGTTTTTACATGAATAACCGGCGAGAAGTTCAGAAATAATGTCTGTAAATCTGTTTTTACCTGTTCCCTGAAGTCCTTTCAAAATAATTGCTGTTTCATTCTTGATTCCAGGATGTTGAATCATTGATGCAATCCAGCCGAGTAGGTATTTATACACTTCATCGTTATTATCACAAATGGCTTCTTTAATGAAATTCATAAACATCTCAATTTTTGAGTAATCTGTTTTTCGAGAATGTTGTATTTATAACCCTGAAACGTTGAGAAAACATCTGGGAATCAGATTTAAAGCAAACACCCTTAACGGTTAATGAAGACAATTGATTTAGTAGTACATCCCATGCTGTTATGGTTTTACCTTCTTCTTTAAATAATTTAATCATTTTGAGTGACTCTTTCATATTTGACTGAAGAACAAATGATATTTGATTCATTTTGTCGTGGATATGTAATCTTTCTGAATGAAATATTTGTTTCCACAATCTACAAAACGAATTACACGTGATAAATCCTCAATTACTTCAGAACTGTTTTTATACTGATGATTTTCAGCCTTGCGTCTAATATCTGTTATCAAAAACGAGTCATCAAGTTTGATATCAAATGTTATTTTTGGCTTACGTAATAAAGGTAAAACATATTCATCATAATATTCCTTTTGATAAAGTTTTAGAATCTTCACCAAAACAAATGGAGAAGTCATTAAATGTGCATATCTACTACGTGCTTTTTCAAAATTACTTTTTGCATTTTCTGTTAAACTGCAGAAGTTATAAACGTTATCGTATGCTTCATTAATTAAATGATTAGGTAACGAATTAATTGCTTGAAACAGTGTGAATAATGTTATTTCTTTTTCTAAATTCATGTTTCCACCATCATTATGTACTTCAAAATCACAGATGCCATCAACTATGCTCTGAGCTAGTTTATCGTCAATGTTTACATCTTTGTTTTCATTCATTATACTCTTTATTTCT